AAACTCGCATGACAACAAAAGAGCAACAGTTCACTTCCCCTTGGATCCGGGCGCATCATAAGAAGGACGGATTGATAGCTGCTGAAATACAATTCTTCCTGACAGGCAAAACATGAATCCATCCATTTTGGTCTCGGAAAGAAATCTAAAGCTTTGACACGACTGAAATTGTGCAGAAGGGGACTGTTACTGCATGGCTGGATGAAATTGCTATTACTTTGTGTGCTTCAAATTGGGTTAGAGAAGATGAAAGACACCAGAAACAAGACGGATGGAACTGAAAAAAAGGACAAGGGCAGCCTCAGCGATGATGACTCAGCAGATCAATGTGGCTGTTATCTTCTTCAAAGAAACCAACGTAAAATTCAGTGAATACACTAAATTGAATAAAGACAAACATTTAATAAGTGGCTCATATGGGCCTGCTGTCTTTATGTGTGGATTTAAACCACAAGGAGAGAGTTTATTCAGCGATGCCAACAAGCTACTTAACATTAATGTACACCTAAAGCTACAGCAATAACAGTAAAATATGTGGGCTGCTGTACTTGTTTAATGAAATTAAGTATTCCTTTACTGCCACCAGTTGACTGTACATTAAAAGGAAACGATCATCTGGCACTGCACTACTACACTAAATGCTTAAAAAATTAAAACATTAAGACTAAGGCTAAAATGTCTATATACTGGAGATGGAGTTAAATATGATAAATAAATAAATACAGTTCTACATCCATGCTAGCAGCTCTCTAAGGCTGTTTGCTTTAAAGCTTCCATGAGGAGCTGTCAGTTTGTGTTGATTTTGGCGCCCCCTGTGGACTTCTTGCTGATCTTGTCCTGCACATGTGTAAGATATGTTCTCTGTTAGATAATATCATCATGTAAAATGTATCACTCATCGTAAATACTTGTCAGCCTGCCCTTTGACCCACCGCTGTGACGTAATCCGGCTCCAAACGCGCCCTCCGAAGGATGCAGCCCCCCGAAATAGAAGATTACTTTCATTTCTGAGAAAGAAAAGAGGCGGCGTGTTTTAACCCAACCTCAGAACAAAACAACCTGACATTCTGTTCCATTTGTCCCTCAGACGCTCTCACTGTTCAGCCTGGGAGAGTGCACCAACATCATAACTGTCATAATTAGAAAGCCATTATGTTCTTTATTTTCTGCCTCTCTGCCTTCATTTCGTAACAGGGCATCACTGCTCTCATTCTGAACCCAAAAAAAAAAAAAACATTCTGCACTAAACTTTGTGTAAATTCAGATATTTTTTTTTCTTGTGTTTCAATTGTATTGCTAAGTAGTTCTATGCAAATGATTAATGAATGGCCATGGTATAATCATTTCCTCGGGGTCTTTACGCACGCTTTAACTTCCTGTCATGAATACACATTACAATCTCTCTGTGACGCCTCAGGTTATTCTCTGGATCTAAATCCTTTGTTTCAAATAGAGGCCAATCTTTCCGCTTTCCACAGATTGTCTGGGTCCCCACTGAGCCTTTTTTATTTTTTATTTTACCTCCAGTTATCTCAGGTTCAGTTTAAGCTCAGGTTAGTGTTTTTACTATTTAACGCTCAAATGTGAACCCCGAAAATAGAAGCCAAACATTTATTACAGTGTTTTTATTAACGTAGGGGTGTTAATGTATTCTGTAGGAGCACTAGTCCCAGAATGAAACCACTCCAGGTGTGAGCTGTGACCAGGGCAGCAGGTAATGGTGCTCAGCTGCACTAGTGAGAATGTGACTGGTGACCTGTGGTTGTGGAGTTGAATCTGGCTCAAGGGTGTACTGGAGAACAGCGGGGTGGCTGTAGGGCACTTGAGCATCAGCCCACGTTACAAGCCCCCCTCTTAAGCCCCTCTCTTAGCTATTAGCTGTCTTTAAATACACACCTGTTACTATAATAACATCTTACTCCTACAACCAAAGTCTAGGGATGTTCCTAGAGAATAATTTCCCTGTCGATTAAACTCAAATTTAGACTAGTTGTTAAATCTAAAGGTAAGAAGACACACATGTATTGCTTACATATTCCAAAACATATTACTACAGTTCATCACGATTTCAATAAGGAAACTGACTGCTATTTTTGTGTCAAAAGGGATTGCTAATTGTTGCTAGCGTTAGCAGTGCTAGCACCACCAGACTTCGGTCCACCTTGCAGGATCACAACCACGTTCCTGTGATAAGTGTGGTGATTAATTGCTCCAGTTGGGCGGTTGTATTCCAGTTTACCTCCCCTTACGCTTACAAAGTGTATTTTATGTTTGTGCAGTAGAGACGGGTTAACAGGCCCAATAACCAGAGCTTACAGCCCCCTCTAGTGGCTAGAAGATGCATAACAGCTTAGACACAACATCTAATGTGGACCTACATTGATAAAAGAAACAGAAGAACTAGTTTAGTGAACTAGTAAATCTTGTGCTGACTACTTAAGGGGGATGATGTTCCAGCGTTTAGTAATCTGTTAGCGTCCATTTTTACTGATAACCCCATCTCGATTATGATTTCCTGTTTTTTTTTTTTATACCCTTTTTCTGTCTTGTTTGTTGATTTCGATCACGAGAGGAGCAACAGCTGCCAAGAATATTTTCTGTGCAGTTGCAGGAAGTGGCAAAAAAAATCTTCTTTTGACTTTGTGTCTTAAACTTTTTGTTGGCTTTGGAGACAATTTTTAGGTAGATCAATGCTCAGAGTTGCAAATGCAGTCATAAAACCTTTTTGGAGAAGTCTCTATTTCTATTTCAGGATTAACTTCTTTGCACAACATTTGCACCAGTTTGTCAGTCTCTTCTTCTACATGTATGTCTCATTCTGTCCCCAAATCAAACAGGGACAGATGGGGACGGATGTCTCTGCAAAAACAGAAACAAAAGTACTTTAGTAGAGTTAGCTTCCCACATTCCTGAAACGACCCAAATGCAGAAACACACCTGAAGGGGTTCTGCAGGCGGACAAAATGATGAACGCATCATTTAACCGTAATGAGTTTCCCAATTTTCTTTAATCAAGCCATTGTAAACAATGATTATATTCTTTTCTTAAAGATATCCACGAGCACTTCGCGGTGGTTGCTGTATTTTTAGAACAGCTGATTTGCACCGCAGGACCCTGACCCACATACAAAGGAGTGGAAATCGAGCTGCATTGTGGTTGCCTCCATTTAGAAATTGTCACCCGAGAGAAGTCCCCTCCAGAAGATGCTGCTAAATATAGATTTGCAACATCAAAGGTCCTCTTTGAAATGTGTGTGTGTGTGTGTGTGTGTGTGTGTGTGTGTGTGTGTGCTGCTCAGTCTGTCGCTCTGCCTGTAAAGGAAAGCTAATCTGACGGGTACACAAGCCCCCATGAAGGCAGACAAACAATCATAAAACTCTCCTACTGGAGGTGCAGCACAAACACACACACACACGCATGCACACATATTCAGCAAACAACAGTGGTCCCTGCTGCTCGTTTGCTCGTATTAAAAGCTCTTACAAATGACTCAGTCAGCAGTTGCAGTTTGTTGGTTTTTTTTTGCTTTAGAGGTCGTCGACAAAAACTCAATTTGGAGGTCTGAAGAAGTGCGTACTGATGCCTCTTTCTTCCACATCATAGTCGTGTTTGACAGCAGAACAAAAAGACTCCTCAGACTTGAACTCCTCTGTGAACAAAGATCAAACTCCAACTTGCTCAGACTCCATCCGTCGAGCTGATTGTAAAGCCTCCTGTGCCTTTATTTTTTCCCAATTTGAGGAGCAATTAATCAGCACATTAAAAAGACAACTTAGGAAAGGCTTGGCGAACCGGCTTAACGGCCTTATTTGAATTCTTCACTACGTTGTTGAAGGAAGTTGAAACCTTGTCTCTTGACGGAAGTTATTAGAAAATCCTGAGTCTTCAATCACAATTCAAGGCCAACAATAATGATTCAGCTTTCTGAAGACATTGTACAAACAAAATGCTATGAATGAAGCTTGAAAGCGGTAGTAATGTCAAGACAGTTTACAGCATTATGTTAACCCTATGAAATAACCCAATACTGGGTGCCTAGGACTTCTATTTTAGTTGCCATGGTATCGAAACAGGTATTCATTACAATTCCATTATCGTGACAGCCCTAGTTCTTTTTTTGAGTTATTACAAATTTATGATCGGTGTCTGGAAAGAAACGAAGATGTTGATTCCTCTGCCATGACTGCACAGCACAGCTCAGCACCTCTCACAGCTCATAACTCAAGCCAGGAGCCATGTCAGTCAGGCTTTTTAAAGTCAAATCAGCCTGCACCACCCACCAGGGCTGATCAGTAGCATAGTGGCTCCCCTGCTAACTTTAAAAAAAAAAAACCCACAGATGGATACTTTTATATGCGGCAGTGAGGGGCTAACAAGTGTGCTTTTTACAGGCTCCTCTTTTAGTGTGAACAACCCTCGCTCAGATGTAAAAAAAAAAAAAAAACGTTCAGCACCTCGGGGGGAGAGTGCCTGCGCCTGTTATCACAGCCGGGATCAGCTTTAACAGGAGTAATTAGCACACGGTGATGAGGAAGCACTTAGTTTGTAGCTCAGTTTAACATTGTAAATACTCCGACTCGCATTGTTGACGGAAAATGCTGCTTTTAAGGTCAAATATTTCCCTCCCTGCTGCATTGCTCCTGTCAGGGTGTCTTTGACAGGCAGTCGGCTACATGCAAATCGACAGAATTTCTCCTCCCGGTGTCCAAATTGCATCACTTATAGCTCCTGAAATTGCACCTTGCCCCTCCCTCGCCCGTGAAAGCTCAAATGTACAGCCTCAGCTGTGCACAAAGCAAAAAAAAAAAAGGGGGACAAAAAAAAGGGAATAAGAAGGGCACTTATTGAATCACGTCGGGTCAGGGTCATCGTGTTTCAGCGCTGGTATGTTCTGATCTTTTCTCAAAAACCACAGACAAAGACTGAGTCTTACTTACTCGCATTCAGCGGTGATGAGGCGTTCAAAAGCTCTAACACTCTTCTCCCTTATCTCCCGCAGGCACAACCAGGCAGCCCAAGGAGGGAGAAGTCCCGGGGGTGGATTATAATTTCGTGACCGTTGACCGGTTTATGGAATTGGAGAAAAGCGGAGCCCTGCTAGAGAGCGGAACATATGAAGGTAAGGATTTAGCCGAGTCACGCTTATGATTGCAGCTGCTCTCCTTTGTGATATTTCCTTCCCCCTCCCAAAAAAAAAGAAATGTCATGAATTTATGCAGCGACGTGGCACCAAAGGCATTTTTCTCCATGCAAGTGACAGCGGTTTGAATAAATGCTGAGACGGGCTCATCACTCCACGTCCACTCACTTCACAAACACCCACAAACTCACTTCAATCCATCCATCTTTTGGCTTTTGTGGAGAAGAGAGTGTCATCAGTCAAGAATGACACAGGAAGGGATACTTTGTAAAATTCTGGACAAGGAGAAGCAAATCGCACACGCGCAAACACACACTCACATGAGAGCGGTCCCTTCCAGTGTCCTCTCTCCGGGCTCTTCAGCTTCCTAATCAAAACAAACAGACACTTCCCATCCTCTCTCTCTTCTGCGGTCAGACTTTCCCAAGGCTTCCGATTCTTTTCTTTTTTTTAACCGCTCTGAAAAAAAAACACTCGTCTTCCAGGCCAGCGCCATCTCTCAGGAGAACCCCTGCTGCCTTCATAAAGATAACACACAGATTGTTCTCTTTCACCTTAACTCCAGTCTCTGTTCACCTGCCACCGCTGCACAGGAGAGGGAAAATAAGCAGACGGCCAATTTAACGGTCGGTTGCCAGAAGCAATGTTAGATCCTTAAAGGGATGGGAGCTGCATTCCACGGGGAGATTCTTCGGCGCGGTCACTCGCCCATCATTCAGCGTTTTATATAGTTTAATAATTTAATGGCCAATTAGATGTGGAAGAAAGGCAGAGGGGGTGAAATTTGAAAAGGAAAGCTTTCCATTTGAGCAGAAAGAAGCTTTTTAAGTTGTTGTAACCAAAAGAAGGAAGAGTCCTTGAAAAGGACACAAAAACAACCGTTAGCTGTTTGTCTTTGATGGAAAAAAATATCTGAAATAGTTGTAAAACACAAATTGATTCACTAAGATGGAGAAAGAAACAGTTGAGAAAGTGCTTTCTTACTATAAATGTAAAAAGTGTCTTTCAATAATATCTCTCTTAGAAACACAAGAGCCTGGGGGGAAATGTAGCAACACTATACTGTAGGTTTGTACTATGGCAACAGAAGTGTATTTTTTTTCCACTCTGTGTCTTAGAAATCACGTTGTTTTCTTCACTTTGCTGTTGTTTCTTAATTTAGACTGCCTGGAGGGTATACTGGGAAGGTTTTCTTTCAAACTTTGGCCCATTCTTTAACAATAACTCTCAACTCTTGTGACTCCAAAGCAAAGGAAACTTGTGATTCTCTCTTCTCTTTGTATGATTGCACTTTCATTTCAGTTTGTATTTTCAGCCTGCAGCTACTGGATGTATTGGACTTATAAACCTCCGCTAAATAAAAAAAGATTACAATCCTCCTCTCTTGAATCATGGTTAAAACATCAGGGTTTGAAAAATGAAGCCAATGCAGAAGTAAAAAAAAAAAACTGCTGTTCATCGATTGTCCATCGAGTTGGTCAGAAATAAAATGTTTATAGCTTGGTTCAAAAAAACAGTTTTAGTCTGAATAGTTCATGTCCTATTGGCACACACTTCACAGCTGGTATTTTTTATTTATTTTAGAACTCTTTAGTTTTGATTGTATGAAGGATAACAGTTATTCAAAACTAACTGCTACAGGCCCCCACCTCAACTCCACCTTTTTGCCTGTTTGTAGGTTGATCAAAAAGTTAGTTTGAAACTGCATTTCCAATATGGAGACCAACATTGTCGGTCTTCCAAGCTTCACTTCAGTAACCAATGGGGACGCCACTAAGACGACATCCATCTAATCTTTGAGTGCTGTTGGATGCTTGTTAAAGGTTTTTTTTTTTTTTTAAAACATTTGATATCCCAGCTACCAAATTAAGTGGATGAGCTTAAAAGGCTGAGGGGAATTAACGATTGTGGAAAGAAATGATAATTTTCTGGCTTTCGAATCAAAAATAAAGTCTTAGCATGTGTGAGGCTTTAGAAAATCTTTGACGGGCCTGATTCGGCTCAGGGGCCAGGAAAGCTACACTACCCAAGAGCCTCTGCTGCTGTTATAGTAAGCATCATCATTTCATCAGTTTGGAATAAATGTACTCCATTATAGTCAGTCATAGTCACAGAATACTTTTGATATTGACCCAAAATCCAAAGTTGGGGGACTTTGCATGACTGAGGTTGATAATTGAATGAGTGGAGATTAACATTGATAACACCTGACTTGAGACTGAACTTAGACTGAAGACACAGCTGACCTCCACAGGACCTGTTCTCACCACAGTAACTTGAGACTTGCTTGTGACTTTCACATGTGTCATTCACTCCCTCCACTGCTCAAATCCTGAAGGCAGCTTTAGCTCTTTGTGAGTAATACATGCAGCAGAATTTCAAGCTCTTTGATTGGCAGCTAAATACCAAATCTGGTTAGATATTTATGTCAGTAGTGGTAATTATTTTTTCTCTAATACTGCACTCCATTCAGAGTTGGGGGTAGGAATGTCCCAGTTGAAAAAACGTCTGCATTTTGACCTGCTGTATTCCAGTTTAAGATGGATGGATAATGGATTGATGGATGAATGGGTGGATGTATTGATGGATGATGGATGAATAATGGATGGATGGATTGATGGATGGATGGATTGATGGATAGATTGGTGGATTGATGGATGATGGATGGATAATGGATTGATGGATTGATGGATGGATAGATTGGTGGATGGATGGATGGATGGATAATGGATGGATGGATTGATGGATGGATGGATTGATGGATGATAATGGATTGATGGATGGATGGATGGATGGATGGATGGATGGATTGATGGATGGATAGATTGGTGGATGGATGGATGGATGATAGATAATGGATTGATGGATGGATGGAATGATGGATGGATAATGGATGGATGGATAATAGATTGATGGATGGATGGATGGATGGATTGATGGATGGATAGATTGGTGGATGGATGGATGGATGGATTGATGGATAGATTGGTGGATGGATAATGGATTGATGGATGGATGGATGGATGGATGGATTGATGGATGGATAGATTGGTGGATGGATGGATGGATGATAGATAATGGATTGATGGATGGAATGATGGATGGATAATGGATTGATGGATTGATGGATGGATTGATGGATGGATGGGTGGGTGGGTGGATTGATTGATGGATTGATGGATGGATGGGTCTGGATGGTTGGATGGATGGGTCTGGATGGATGGGTCTGGATGAATGGATGGGTCTGGATGGATAATGGATGGATGGATGGATGGGTCTGGATGGATGGATGGATGGATGGGTCTGGATGGATGGGTCTGGATGAATGGAAGGGTCTGGATGGATGGATGGATGGGTCTGGATGGATAATGGATGGATGGATGGATGGGTCTGGGTGGATGGATGGATGGGCAGGTACATGTTTAGCATGTCACATTAGCTCACAATGACGCCATGGGTGGAGAAAATTCAGCCAGTTATACCAGAATCTGTCCTGAATGTTGGCAACCCCTTGGCATACGTCTTAATTTTGTCATTTTTATGGCAGGGAAATAAAAAACTAACTTTTGTCTGGAACCCTTGAAGCTCCAAAACCCACCTCCCATTACCTTTTCCAATGTTTCATCTTTCCAAGCATGAGTTTGGGGGAATCTGCTAATAAAGGCTTTCATGTCTTTTTCTTAGCTTCATCAGAGTGTAGGTGAGATCAGCATGGCTGTCAGATGTGACACTCGTTCCACCTCTTACTCAGACTTCAAAGTCCAAGTTTGTGTGATGCTGCAGGTTGTTTAAGTTCACACGCGTTGAGCATTCAGAGCACTTTCTTTTTATTTCTACAGCTCGTTAAGGCTCCGGGATTTATGTCGCCAGTTTGGGGTTCTAATCCAGACAGTCCCAGTAATCTTTTTTACAGCTACTCTCTTTCATTTTTCATTTCAGCCTTCATGTTTTCTCAGAACATAATGTTTCAATAGGTCTTTTCCCCTGCAAAGGGAGACACCGACTGATATATTTTTTTAAACCTCATTCGCTGTTCTTCCTGTTTTTTTCCCCCGGAACTGTCTGAAGTCGTGTTGGAGTTTGTCTCTGATTCTCTAGCCCCAGTGCTTTAGAATAATCTCCATGGATTTCCAAACACATCGTCTTCTTCTGTCTGTTATTTCTGCCAGGGAGACTTGGGTGCAGCAGAAGAGATAGCTACGGTGTGCTAATCTTACACCAAACTCGACTGCAGACCTCAACTGTGGCTGAAGTCCTCTGAACCGATTCTGTAAAGACAATCTCTCCAACTTTCATCCATGCCTTTGGATTTGAAATGTAGCCTCGGAGGAACGCTGTGTCTGATCTTTGAAAAGAAAAGAACATCTCTCGGACTTTGGACCAACATGAGACGCCAGCTTAATTCAGATTATCTCCATTGATTATCTCGAGAAGGAAAACTTTGCTGTAGATGTGGGAAAACCTGCAGAATGTCAAATTGTCAGAAGATAAAGTAACCATGAAATTATGAATGTCTTGCTTCCAAATACAAGTATATGACTTATCAATGCCAAAATGTCATTTTATAGGTATTCTTTAATAGTTTAGGTGAAGTGCTATTTGTGATTCAAAGTAACCATACACACTGAATATCAATACCTAACAACTGTTTCTTTATTTAAGTCAGTGAATATTTTTTTTTTGGCTCACCAGTAAAAAAAGAACCCACTACAAACAAACACTAATTCCCATTTCTGCCTTGCAGGTAAAGTCAGTGTAATTCTGCTGCAACCACAATCCAAAAGACGTGAATGGAAATCTTGTTTTTTCTTCTAAAAGCAATGAAAAAGTACATTTAAAAACTCAACACTTGAATTCCTCTCTTACCTTTTCTACTTTTAAATGAAAGTGGTTGCTGAAAAGAAAATCACTGTGACTCTTGGAGTTAAGAAAAGAAAAAGAAAACTGAAGTCATGAGGTCTAACAATGACTGGAGAAGACTGTCAGAGGGATTGGGCTGCTGTCAGCAGACATAACAAAAGATAATACGATGTCAAATGATTTGCATGGTGGAATGGGGCTGTTGAGTTAGGACCAATTGGAAAAAGTGCATTTCCCGGAGGCAGATAGTTGGTCCTAACCAGAGACCAAAACTTAAAGGTACATAGATCGTTGAGTCTGAAGCCATGCAGAAAACTCACAGTCTGATACCAAAGAGATCCCTACATGGTCCGATGATGTGCAGAGGAGATGCAGCTCCTGACAATGGGTGAAATTAGCTCATGACATTGTGCATGCATGCCAAATAGGCCTTGTTGTCAGCTATGCGTTGCTTTGCTGCCTCCTGTTGTGATATTGTCAGACACGATGTGATCCCGAGCCCACAGCTTGTGTGTTCATGGATCAGCTGGCTTTGACAGGGAACAGCATGTCAGCGGCTCTGAACACCTCATCCTCCCTAAAGCTGCTGCAGCGACGTCGTGTGCTTCCTCCGACTTAATAAATTCCCACATCTCTTGTCCTTACGTTCTTCACTCTTTAGTCACTTTGCTCGTCTTGTCTTTACTCTTTTAGGGTCTTTTACATTTTGGGGTTTTACATTCAGTGCATGGATTTTTTTCTTTATCGCTATGTTCCCCTTTATTAAAATGGAATGTCAATGCAGATATTCAGAAATGCACTTGTTCCCTTTGGGGATTGTCATAAGCTAAAGTATTGGGTTGTTGAATTTTACAGAAAAAGGCATTGTCTTTGAAAAAATATCTGGATATGAATGCAGAAACTGTTGGAGAGGAACAAGATATTTATGTTCTGGTTTCCGTTTGTAGCATTGTGTGCTTTCATTTCGTTTGGGCTTTGGTTGTCTGCAGGGAAACACGTCTGTGTGGGGAGGCAAAAAAAGGCAATCATCACACAATTATTGGCATATTATTAACCTCTAAGGTCATTTGTATGTGAGAGCAGAAAACAGGAAAACAACAGCTTCTCGCCACACTAACTTCACTTTTGCAGGTTGCTACTTGACCTGTTAGCATTGACCATCACACAGAAAGTAAAGATCTTATTGCCCTGGTCGCTTACACCAGCAAATTACACCAGAAGCTTTGAACAATTTGCCATCACAACCAGAGGCTAAATCATCATCAAACGATAACCAACAGGCTCCTAGATTGTTTTAAAAGTAAGCTATACAAGGAGCAGCAGACATGCTAAAAGCTTTGGAGGGTCAAACTGTGCTAAATGCTAACATTCCCACTTTGGCTGTGATAATATGCTGATGATTACATGTTTTCCTTCCCTTTGTTCCAGAAAACTTCTACGGTACCCCGAAGCCTCCGGCCGAGCCCAGCGCTCTGCTGCTAAATGTAACGGATCAGCTGCTGCCGGGCGCCAGACCCAGCTCCGAGGGCAAGAGGAAGCGTAACAAGTCAGTCAGCAACATGGAGAAGGCCAGCATCGAGCCCCCCGAGGAGGAGGAGGAGGAGAGACCCATCGTCAATGGAAACGGCGTCGCCGTCACCCCAGGTCAGCGGCTACACAGATGCAGAGTCAGAGGGGGTCACTCGGGGCCAGAAGCCTCATCATGACAGCTTGGTTTTGTGTCAGGCTGATCTGTTAGATTGTCATTGAAGTCAGAGCAACAGACTCTTTTTAGAGTGGTAGCCTAGCAACAGAGAAACAGATTGCTTTAATGAGTATTTCCAGGAAAATGATTTTATGGCAGATTATCACGTTTAATTGGTTACACAAATATCTTTATGTGCTGTTTAATGAACTGGAATGTAAACTGTGAATTATTATTCACTCTCACATTCAGTGATTACCTCCGCAGTCCAAACGCTTTCTGATTAAAACATTAGTGCCGTAGCTTTTTTTCGATGAGTGTATCATTCATTAGGTATTATTATTGAACACTGTTCCAGCCCTGATATTCTGTAGGCATTACCCCCATCATTCCTCTCAATTTAACCGCAGCCTGCAGCTCTTTATAGACCAACAAGGACTTTTTAACAAAACGTTTCTCCGCTCTCTGGTGAATCCGACCTGTCCAGACCATTGTTATCATCTCTGTGAAGTCTGAAAAAAAGGGAGAAAGGGACAGTAAACACATCACAAAACAAGGCCAAAGCTCTCAAGGCCCTTCTTATTCCCACAGATGGAAAAAACAGATACTTCTTTATACAAATGTTTACCTGCAAAATCAAACATTCAGAACCTCGGACTGAGATAAGACGCCTGTGAATGCACCTTTTATTGTGCGCGTTGTACAGACGTCCAAATAGGCACACACGGCCCAACACATGGGGTTTACACAAACAAATAGCCTTTGAATGCATCACATGATACGACCATCATAAAAGAGGCTTTTATGAGTTTGATTTTTGTGATTCCAAATCCAGAACCATGCTCTGGTCCTGTGACTTTCTAAGCTGGTTTTATGACCCGAGGACAGCCAAGTCTCTCGCTTCAGTCAGAGGCAGCACGACAAGACAAAGTGTTAGTCTTATCGCTTTTTTTCCCCCGTCAGATAAACGGTGTCCCAGGTGGTTTTTAAAGCAGAAGGACGTTTGGTCTAAAGATGAAATTTTGGTTTACTAACCGGAAGGATCTCATACAAGGTAGGTCTTTCTTTCAAGATTAGGTCGAGACATTTCTCTGATATCCTGCTAGTTTAAACTATCATGAGCTTTGATCATGACAGTAAAGACGTTATGAATGCAGCATTTTTTTTACATATTAACATTATTCTAACCGTGATGAGGAAATGACCAAACTGAGCAGTTTGAATACGTGAAGTTAGAAACAACAAACATGATGTGAGTATACATTTATTATGTCATTTATTCTGAAAGGACAATAATACAGTTTTAACAGTAATCAGCACAATTCCTTTTTAAAGTGCTTTACAGGATTAAATCAAGAATTCTCCGTTATTCCTCATGCTAAATTAAATCACAACATTTGACTTTAATTTGGATATAAAAGATTTAATACGTTTATTGATATGTAGTTCATTTAATATACTGTACAGGGTAAAAAACATCTTCATAGATTATACCTAAAAGAGCTTTACAGTAGTGTTGTAGTACTCCAGAGTGGTCAGACATCAAAAGCATCACGACAAAGAGGAAAAGGGACATTCAAAAAGAAAATGTCAAAATCACTTTAACAACGATTAACAATCACAGAGAAGAGTAAATATGAAAATGTGTTCAAATAAATAAATAAATATTTAAAGTTAAAAAGTCAGAAAATGGGATGGAATATATAATTTAAAGTTGTATTCAACATAAGAGTGTACAATATTAAATTACGGAGAGTTAGTTGACGACATGCCAAATTTTGTATAGATTTTTTTTTCTTCGATGTCCAGAGATGATTAAAAAGAAGACAATGACTGACTCCATGGATTCAGACGTGTTCATAGCCGCTAGTTGAACATGACTCCACTGTAACAAACATGGCTTTTTCTCTGATTGGTCACAGGAAGTTAAAACGTAATCTCTGTCATAATATTTTGGTTAGTTTGGACGTAATAAGTTTAACTAGTTACTTGCCGCAGTGCATCTAAATAATGACACAACTTGAGTTACAAACTTGACGAGTCGACACATCGGGCTTAGTGTGAACTTTACAGCCTAACTTGAGGCCAAACTTACACATTGAACATCCCAGTCTCCAGTTGTTTTTCCTCATTTGCATGAAATGACGCAGACAACTCTGAACATGACGCTGTGAGCTGAGAGAAAATGAAGCGACTGAAGACATTTCTAACTGATTGCTATCGCTGGTGCTGCGTCTCTCGATAACTTCAGACTCTGTTGGATGTTAAAAAAAAAAAAAAAAGTCGGCTTCTGCACTCAGGAGGAGTTTTTCTTTTCTGTGAAGAGGGACAGAGTGTGGGCTGACCAGGAGGGCTGAAGGGGGAATCGATAGAGCACAGCAGGCTCTGTGATCTAAGCAGATAGCTACCTCGCTCTTTCCCTTCTGTAGATTATCTCTGAATCCCCCACACTCATTTGTCCCCCTCCACCAGTCCTCCTTCTGGGAGGCGCACGCACACACACTTGCCAACTCTTTCTTTTTCCTCCACACACACTATTCCTCTCCCTCAGACACCTCCTGATGCTGCCACAACTCAAACTAGGGCATCACAGCCAGCTTCTCCCTCAATCTCTATTGTCTCCTTCGCTTTCTTCGTCTTTCTATCTTGTTAACCTCGATCATTCCCTCTCTTTCCACCACCTCGCTCCTGTCTTTCCCCCTGAGTCATCGCCTCTCCTCACCTCTTTCTAATCATTCTTTCCTCTTTTTCTTCCCAGCCTCCACCCTAACCCTGACTCTAAATCAATCTCCTCGCCCTGCCTCTTACGTCTCCTTTTTCCCTCGCTTCACCTTCTCTTGTCTTTCAATCTCTCCCCTCCTCCCTCTGGCGATAATGTCATGTCTGACTCATCCTGCCCTATCGTCACCTCAGAGTCGAGTGAGCATGAGGACAAGAGCACAGACGCTTCGGGAGACATCGGCCCCCCGAGCCACCCCGCGGAGGCCCCGACAGAGGCGCTCAAAGAGGACGGACTGTCCCCGAAATTCACGGCACCCAAACCCGACGAGAACGACGAGCTTGGGCCGCTGCCGGACAACTGGGAGATGGCGTACACCGAGAAAGGAGAAGTGTACTTCATAGAGTAAGTGTCATGGTTACATCTGAGCATGATGAAAGACTTTATGTGCTGCTGATAAATCCTGGATGGGAAACAAATTCAACAGATGGTTGGCAATTTAGATTCAGATGGTTGGGCTTCTTGAAACTAAAATTAATTACTGTTTACATTTATTCTTGCCCACCTAAACGCACAGCCAAAATATTCATAGACTCGGAAGAAGCATTGCTTTCAAATGTGTACTTACTTGCAGTCACATGTTATGCAAACAGGCCGTTTGGTGGATTTTCCCTTCATGACATCACAAAGGGCAGTAACCCCTCCCCCAGGTGGGTGACACTCCCACAGCTAGGTGTTTGTTCTGAACCTCTGAGTCTGCCTTCTCACTGTAAACAATAGGGCATGGAGCGAGAAAGCTCAAGCCACCCAAGCACTTCCAGAAAGGGGCGTGGTCTAACACAGCTAATTTGCATTTAAAGGTACAGACACAGAAACAGCCTGTTCTGAGCAGGGCTGAAATAGAGGGGTTTATAGGCATGATCAAATACAGGAACAGAGTGGATTTTTAACCCAGAAAGTTCACAGACATGTTCTTGAGAGCTCTGAGACTTATTTAAACGGGTTGAAAAGGAGGAGAATATATGGCCTTTAATAGCGATGAATGAATCATTGTAAGAATAGTACACACAAAAGCCAGCTGATATCTTATTGGTCAACACGGCTCAGAATGCAAGATTCTACAAACGGAAACAAGAACACTTCAGTGCTGATAATCCAGACCTCCAGGTACATATTCTGCATTATTGTGTAGAATCTGTAAATAGAGCCCCCTCCACCCTCCACCCCCCACCCCAAAAAACCAAATACACACACAGGGATCGTAATTGATGCTTGGTGATTTAATGGGTTTCAGAGGTCCCCTGAAGTACCTCCTTACCCATAAGTCTGTTTTACAAGCGCTAAAGTTTAATTCACTGGAGTTGTTAGCTTTTTACAGCAGCAGTAAAACAGTGGAGGTGAGTCTTTCTTACACCAGAAATAATGGACTTCTTGTGTGTTTTCTTAGTGTGGGTATGGGAATTGTATTTGCATGCTTGTAGTTCTTGTATAGCATCAACCAATGTAGCCATAAGAGGAAATTATTCTGCCATTACCAAAAGGTTTTTATTGCATCAATATATCATTTCAGTCATTAGGCTCAATTTCTCCACAGTATTGATTGAATCCCAGAACGCCTGAACGCGTCATAAACCTCTAGGAGCTCTGCAGCAGCAGCAGCAGCACCAGACTATGAAAGAAGTAGGCGGGGATGCGGTTGTCATCAAGCCAGGCACATGTTGCTTCTTCATGTCTGTTCGACCGAAGAAGCAGACGTTTAAATTCCCTCCACAACGTCTGTCTCCTCCCACTAAACATAGAAACCTCATGCTGCCACATCCATCAAGCACATTACACAACTAATGCAGTTAGCCTGCGGATATGATATGCAGCTTCAAATTTAAAAAAAAAAAAAATCGTCCGTGGTGTATGTGATGCTGTGCCAAAGCGATAGCCGCTGCCAAGAGAGCGCTTGCCTTTGATTGGCCTCCATATGAGATCAATCCGTTTACCTGCAGCCCTTGAAGTGAGCCAGCTGAGGGGAGGACGAGAAGCAAAGAGATGGAGGAGGAAAGGGAAAGAAAGTGATAGTGATTAAAAATAGCTTGGATTGAGAAAACAGGAGGGGAGGACATAAAAGAGGAGATAGTAGAAGATGTGTCGGCTATAAATAGTAATAGATGGCAGTAGAAGATGGGAAGGAGGAGCGTAAAAGAGGAGGACAGTGTGTTGGAAGGTAAAAAAAAAAGGTCAAAAGGTGGGGAAGAAGAAAGAGAAGGAGGATGAGTTGGTGGAAAGAACAAAACTGACTAACTAACCTTTAAATCGTGATTCATGTGGATCCTTAAAATGTCTTAAAAAAGCCTTCAGTTTGATGTTTGTATTGGAGACAGCACTTTAAACAAGACATGTTTGAATCCTAGTTAGCATCAATCGTTTTTATGGATTTCCTTGTGATTTAAGCATACCCAAGCCATGGATGCAATGCTAGTTCTTCCCCAAATGCACCAAAGCTATGCTGTACAAAAATTGCATTAGATTTTATTAGTTTGGGTCTTAAAAAGATGTTCTGTCTTTAAAAATGTGCAGACACTTCATTAGGCTCTAAATTTACTGTTTTGATCAAATATCTTGATCTACTGTAAGGAGCATATCCACAAATCCTCAGAACTCATTAGCTATCATCTAGCGATCAATATGCATTCCTCTGGGAGCGATGGAGAACTTTTCAGGGCTTCTGGTGTAGTCAGTTGTGATAAAGGACTTCATGCTAGAACTTCCTGTGCCTCTGCGTTGCCATTGGTCCGACTGGAGAATGGAATTGGTGAGTCGGTGTTGAGAAGACAGGTCTAAGTGTGCATTGTTAGCCGCACTTGCCCGCAGATGTTTTTAAAGGCCTCCATTAAAGCTGAACGGTTGTGAGAAGACCACAGAGGGGATTCTGGATTATACGACCGTGCTCTTATCACTCCCCACACGGACTGTTTATCCTGCTTACAAGCAATGCCTGATAAAACGCAAGTGGGCAAAACCACAAAATTAGAACACTTCTGCTACCAAAATCCTGTCTTGACCTCCAGATTCAACATATTTATGCAGGATCTGTTAACACCACAGAATCCATATCAACATTTACTGAACATATTTGTACTTGCTGCTAAAACAAAGTTGTTTTTTTCTAAAATGTTTTTTCCTTTAATCATGAATGTCTCACACTGGAGTTGGGAATCTTTGTCGACAGAATACCTTCGACATTTAAGACATTCTCATGAGCTTCAATTATTCATCGTCTTCACTATCAGATAGCTGACGTAGCCATGCTAAGACAGCGAGCCTGGTGGTCACCATCACCAACCAGTGGATGTCTTTTTAAACATTTAACCAAAACGTGCTCACTTGGTGTGTTCACATTCATGTTTTCTATGTTTTTGTTCATCTTATTATTGGTGTACTGTGTCTTTAAGTCTCAAGTACAAAACTCTAATTTCCCTTTGAGACATAAGCCCAAGTTAAAAGTACTGAAAAGAAAAAAAAAGACACAAGGAAGCCTCTTTGCTGCTTCTTCCTCCTTCATCTTCTCGCTTTTCTACTGTAGGCACTTTGCATACAATCCCCCTCCCCCCCTCTCCTTACTGTCATCATGAAAGAGAGGCCATTGTGGCTCCTGAGCTTCAGACGAGTTGAAGAGGCGCTCTGAGTTTTCCCGGACACGCCATCATATCTGATCTGGATCCAGCTCTGTGCCCCGGGAGCTGTGGATGAATCTGCCAAACCCACAGCTGTTCCCCTCGCTCACCCCCTTCTTCCTCCTCCTCCTCCTCTGCCTGCTTAGTAAGCCAATTAAAAGTATTGATTGCCATTTTGTTAACCCAAAGCTTTTTCCAGCCCCCCCTCTTTTCTTTCTCGTCACCTTTTCAGAAGGGTTGGCACACGAGGGAGTCTCATCTTTCCTCTCTGAAAATGATTCTCCGGCTGAATTAAGAATCCACCAACCTCCTTCTCGCTTTCTGCCAAGTCTCCTCTCTCTCGCCATCTATCACACTCCCTCTCACTCGCTCTCTCTCTCTCTCTCTTTTCCCTTTCGTCTCTTTACAGCCACAACACCAAGACGACATCGTGGCTGGACCCGAGGCTCGCCAAGAAGGCAAAGCCGCCCGAGGAATGCAAAGAGGATGGTGAGTGCTGAGTCTTTATCTTCTGTTTTTCTCTTATTTCTGATTATTTTGTTCTCCGTTCGCCTTCTTAACATCTTAACAACACAACTTCCCTGCAGCTTTAATTTCTTTTTGAAAGATTCCAACATTGCCTGCAGATCTAAAGATGATCTAATTGAGTTTCAGTCCATTGAAGGAACAATTTCTGATTTAAGAGCTTATTTTTTGGGAGTTTTATGGTGTCTGGTGTGTGTGTGTGTGTGTGTGTGTGTGTGTGTGTGTGTGTGTGTGTGTGTGTGTGTGTGTGTGTGTGTGTGTATCTTTCTGTGGATAGGAAGCCTCTTGATACATGTGTTTAAAGCCCAGGTCCAGAGAGACTTGGAGGTTACAAAGACTTCTTTATTCTCAGCTGAGAGAGAGAGAGACGTGGTGTGTCCTTCACCCGCCCACACACACTGCGAAAAAACACACCGAAAGAAGAAAGGAGACGGGATGAATGTCAATGCGGCGTGCGTTTATAGACGAGCGTACATTTATTTTTCGAGTGTGTCATCTATCTCTCTCGCCGTCACCTTCCCTGCCCTCATCCCCATTCGTCTTTCCTTTATGTGTGAGATTTATCGCCCGAGTTATGGGCAGAGGAGAGCCGAGTAGGAGGACCGGATTGGGGAGATGGACGGAGACAACGAATGAGAAATGGTTATTCGAATGTGTGACTGTGTGAGTTTGTTTGGTGTGTGTTGACGGCGGGGAGGGGCGGGGATGCTTGTGTGTGTGTGTGTGTGCGTGAATGTTCCTGGTAAACACGTAACCACGAGGATAGAGTTTCACTAAAAATACACTCAGACGCACACACATGCAGACAGACGTTCAGACAAACAAGTCGACTCCGGGGTCACATTGGGCTTTCATTGACTTTTTGCTAAATCTGCATTAGGACACCGCGGTGAGTAGGCCTGCCGCAAACTGTTGTTGTTATAATCAGTCGATCTGTCGGCTACTTTCGGATTTATTCCTCAGTTATATAATGTAGGGGAAATGTTTCTCAGATCCAATAGTGCTCAATGGAACTGCTTTTTGCTCTTACATATTGGACAACATCAACACTTTAGTCTGGATACATGTATCTCAAAAGTGATCGGATGGATTGCCATGATGTTGAAATCGTCAATAATCTGACCCTGATGAACGCCACAAGCCCAAACGCGTCGGTGTAATTTGTTAATAAAGTTGATCTACAAGTGTTGCTGGAGCTTTTTGACCTCTAAGCCTTTCACTCTTCATGCCCCTTGGTAGTTGGTGATAATCGTCAATAATAGCAGGAGCGGCAAAAAGGGGACTTGAGATTTGGTACAGACATTCAAGGTACCCTGTGGAAAATGTTGGTTACTCTCTGACTTCTAATCTGGCAGCATCTTCAGGTTAAAAGATGTTCTATTAGCCTCGTCTGCACTTTGTAGTTAGTGCCAATAAACAAAGAGAAAGTGCTGTTGTAGTTGATATCAGCACTGCTGGACCACTGGCTGAGTACTCCAGCATTCCCTCCAGAAAGTCCAAAGTGTCTCTGCTGTTGTCGTTGATCTCAGCACTTCTGGAATACATTTTGTCCAACCACATCACGTTCAGAACCAACCGTTTTATATCGTTGAATATGAAACCTGCTTAACAGTATTGTGGTAACATTTTCATGAAGGTCATAGTAGCATGCTGAGATAAGCAGCCTTGATATTCTAAGTCTCGTTATGGTTGAAGGTTTTTTTTGGTTTTTTTCACAGATGAGCTTATTGGAGAGTAAATTAAATTTCAATAGTGAAAGGTATAAGAATGCCAAACTCTTTTGCTATCAGCTCCTTCGGTGGAACGTGGATTAGCAGTATTCCTGCATACGTTTCCAACCTCGAGCAAGGATAAGACAAATGTCAAGAAGTATTTGCAGATCGTGTTTGACTGCGCCGAGATAAGAGCGAGAACATCGGCGCCCGGTGTGAAAACATTTGCACTGTGTGTGGTGGCATTAAACAAAAAGGGACTGCTTCCTGTTGACACATCGCCTGTTTTTATCCCTCCAAAAGAATGACTTTTCTTGATCATGCATTTTATTCAAAAGACCTCGTGTGTAGTCACTGAATCACCCGCTTTCCCCCCCTCGGTCTTTGGACTTTAAAGGGAGACAGATCTCCGAGATGATGAAATGACACAGAAACAAAGACGCCTGTGAGGAATTAGTCAGAATGTGATTCCACTTTTATCTCCGGCACTTCCAATCCTATTTATCCACCGAGGACGCCCCACATGAGGAGATGTGCTGATATTTGTGAGGATTGTTATTGATCTGGTCGGGGGACTAATCCAGTTAGTCCCTTTTTAGAAGGGAAAGCAGAGCTTAACGGTGGCTGCAGGTCTGAAACCAAGTTACGATTGTTGCTCAAAACAGATTAAACAGTTTTAATCAGGCAGTCATGACTGATTGGTCCTCTCCACCAACAACAATAGGTCACAATTGTATTAGTTTGACATGCACAGAAATAACTGCAATGAGATTCCAACTAGCCTCCGTTGTAGTTTGCGGTAAATGCTAATTAGCAAACATTATGCTAGTATGGTAAGCTAAGATAAATGACATGATGAAGAATGCACATGCCAAAAGCAGCATAGGTATTAGCATGTTGAGCTGCTAGCATGGCTTTCATTTGAGAGAGTTCTTTTTTTTTAATCATAAAAATGTCTTTTGTGCTTTCTGTGAAATGCTAATAAGCTAACGTAAGCATGCTAACATGGTCAAAGAAGGCCGGTGAACATTGCATTTGCCAAATAAGCATGTTTGCAAAGTTTTTTTCAGCAACACAGCATGTTGATACTAGCATTGTAGTCAAAGCACAACTCTTAAGAGCTGCTAGCTTGAATGTTGAATCATATTTGAAAGCTCTGATTGTCATAGAAATGTCTGGGTTGTGTTAGCTACATGAATGATTTTAGTATGCCTGACTGTCAGTGTGTTTTTGTCTATATTTACTCTCCTGTTTAGAGTGTGCCTCGTTTTGACTGTCGGTAATAGAAGTGTCCTCCCATTTGAAGTGTGTAAGCAGCCGTGTGAGAGGTGTGTGCTGTTCACTCCAAACGTCCCCAGGCTGTCGGTAGCAGCCACCCCAGAGAGCTGAGCTCAGTTAGGGAGGGAAAAGCTGCCTCTGTAAATTCAGTATTGATCGGTGGGAAAGGTAGACGTGTGTGTGTTCGTGTTTTGGACCCGAGCCATGCTCTGATAAGCACTAACAGGATTGCAGGGTGGAGTCTGTGAGCTGTGACGGGACAACAGGCTGAGAGGAGGAGAGCAGGAGTATTAAGTGGGACTTTGGAGTATCGGCGGAAACACAGATGCTCACTAAAAGCAAGATGTGGGGAAGAGCCTGAACTTAAACCACTAGATACATCCCAAAAAAATCTAGTCCTGCAATAGTGACAAAAAAGTTACATCTGGAATATTAGCAGCTACATAAACAGTAATGCATTTCACCTGTCCTATGTTGCTTTCTTAACATTTTCACACGACTGCTGCACGTTTGATGAGTCAAAAATACAAACAGGAAGCTGATCTGTACACTGTAGTGGATGTGGATGTTCAAAACTACCAGACTGGGTCATCATTTTTTTCTGTCTAAATTCAAATAAGTTTGGCAAATCTCTGGACTTGTAAAATGTAGTAAAATAGTCCCACTTATATATGTTTATTTTCCTTGTTGGATGTCTTTAAAGTCCTCTGTGTTTGCAGTTCTTTGCAATTGACCTGAGTGTGAGGTTATTATTACAGACAGAGATGGCAATTAAATAAAGGCCTAGGTTGTAATTAAGTCTAATCATCCCTTAACAGTATTCATTATGCAGAATTCTCTGTGTGTAAGCGTATGTCATTGGAGTTCATTACTAGTATTGAACTTGTTAGATGTGTTTTCTGCTTTCGAGGGTTGAGGATCTTATCTGACCTGTTCTGTACACCAGGTTTAATGAATCCAGATTACTGTTTCATAAAACGTCTGTGTAGGTTCTAAGTCATCCAGACTGAGACATCTGGACAGGTTGAAGATCTTGAAGACGTGTCGCCTCTCCTCCGAAAGGCTCCTTCAGTCCTGAGCTATCTGGTTGGACGGAGCTGGGGTGGTAACGACGGCGAAAACTAGGTTAACGACTCTGATGTGATGCTAATTAACATGCTGATGATCCAGAGGCTAGCTCCGTCCAACCAGATAGTTAAGAACTGAAGAAGCCTTTCGGAGGAGAGAAACGTCCAGTTGCCTTTGGATCGAGCTGAGGTTGTTGAATTGTTTTCCTCCTGCATAAATAGAGCAAATGTACTGGCATGAAAAAAACTGTAACATTTCCTCCTGACTTAAACTCAAATGGAGGTATAAAGTCGCTGGAAAAAAAATGGAAAAGTTGTATCTCAGTGCATAACTTGAGTCAATGTTTCACTGCCGGTAAACACAACTTGTTCCCTCTCAACTTTAAAGTCGGTTGCAACACAAACAACCAGATTCTGTCAAAATATGCGGCGCAATGTGTGTACGGTTTAGCGCGCTCGATCCTGCCTCTTCAAAGGGAGCGGCGTCTCCGGTGAAGACGGGGAGAGCGGCTGACATCACAGACGTCTCTGTCGTTACATAACTCCCCCCCCCCCCCCGCCTCGCTCTCTCTCCTCCTGCCTCCATCTTTTCTCACCTCCTCTCTCCGCCTCTGTATCCATCTTTGTCCCCTTGTTTGCTCCCTCCTGTCCTTCCCGTTTTCCTCTTTTTAGTTTGGTTAGATGAAAAGAAGTAGGACAAGCCTTTTTATAGAAACTCTTTGTTTGCTTTTTATTTCCCCCTTACTCTGTTTAAAGTTGATTGTTTTGTTGTTTTTTTCCCCCTTTTTTGCTGCCAAATATTTTTTGGCTGTGAGAAAAGAAAGAGAACAACCAAGCAGGCCTGCTGTGGTCTCGTTTACTTCTTTACTTGTGCGGCCTGTTTCCTGTTTGTTTTTTAAACCCTGAA